GCCTCCTCCTCTCCGGAGATGTCCGAGCCCTGTGCGGGCTGAACCGGCAGCCTTGGAAATGCAATCTCTGCAGCAGTAAATATTCCCTGCACACACCCTCCCCCCCCACCCCACCCCAAGCGTTATCTGAATGAACTAGAGGCCGTGGACATCTGCATGCGGCTGCGTCCTGCTCCAGGCAGGGACTAGAAACCAGCAGTGGCCATGGGCACTTGGGGGGAGTCCGAGGTAGGGCCCCAGACTCAAACTCCCATTATAGAATCCTAGAACACTAGGACTGGAAGGGACCTCGAGAGGCATCGAGTCCAGTCTCCTGCCCCACGGCAGGACCAAATACTGTCTAGACCATCCCTGAATCTTCTATTCAGAGAGGGTTAAGCACCTAAATATGTGGAGGCTCTGGATCGCCCGCGGTTGCAGACCCATCCGCGCCTGTGTCTGCTGTCTGTCAGCCCAGGATACGAGTTCTATCTCAGAAACAGGAAACCTCTTCCGTGTGTCCCGTGAGTGGCACGTAGAAGTTGTGAATCGTTTTATGGAGGGCAGCTGGCACGCTGTACAAGACAGTTGCCCTGGGGTTATTCCTTCCTCCTTCGCTTGCTGTCCACACGTAGCGCTCGCTTCCGGCAGGGCAGGGCTGGGCACAGGGAAGAATGGCTCCGCCTTGCAAAGCGTCTGGCAGTGATGCGGCTCTGTCTTGTTGCCTTCCTCCGTTGCAGACCACGTCTCCGTCGGGGGCCTTGGGGACAGCTTCTATGAGTATCTGGTCAAATCCTGGCTGATGTCCGACAAGAGGGACGATGGCGCGAGGAAGATGTACAACGATGCGCTGGAGGTAAGCTTGATGGCTGCGGCAGCTGTGGTCCCGATGACCGTTCCGTCAAAGCAGCTTAGTTTTCCTTCCCGTAAGACGTGTTCACGTGCTGATTTTTTCCATCCATTTTAGGCCATAGAGAAGCACTTGGTTAAAAAATCTGCCGGAGGATTGACCTACATTGCCGAATGGAGAGGTGGCATCTTGGACCACAAAATGGGCCATTTGGCTTGCTTCTCTGGTGGCATGATAGCCCTTGGAGCTGAACAAGGCGGAGAGGAGAAAAAGCAACATTATCTGGATCTAGCTGCAGCGATTACTCACACGTGCCATGAATCTTATGCACGCTCAGGTACACTGTGGATTAAAGTACTGCTGATAAATTACTGTGGTAGCTAAGGATTTACAGCCCCTGAAAAATTGAATCTCCCATGCGAAAGGATTGCAGTAATTCTTTGGCACTTCTGCAGCATTTTCCATCAGAATGAGAGCTTTTAACATTCCTCCGTCCTTGCAGCACCCTGTGAGGACAGTCAATATTGGGATATCCATTTTAGATTGGGAAACTGAGGCATAAAGAGGTTACGTGACTCACCCAAGGTCGCATAAGAAACCAGTGGCAGAGCTGATAACTGATCCAGGACCTGAACCCCAGACCTGTGTTCTAATCAGAGCCACACTTTTTCCCAATAAAAGGAGTAGTGTGAGTTCCTTGGTATCTCATCCCAGCAGCACTTGGAGGTATTCCCATAACGAATGGAGTAAAGCGCCGATCTGCCTTGACTTGCTTCCACCGTGTACAGGTGAAGGAAGCAAAACGGGAGTTGAGCATCGGGTGGGGTGTGAGGGGAGCCGAGTTCTGTTCCTCCACCTCCACCTGGGGCCTCCCGCAGCTTGTGCCGATCTCTCCCTGCTCCCCCGCAGGCGCCTCTAGACTCCTCCTTGCTCGCTAGCACCCCGGCTTCAATATCGGTGTTCCCAGGAGGCGGGTGGGGGCAGGGAACCTGG